TGATTTATTCAATACAAGGCATGGAAGGGATGGGCAGCTATCCCCTTCTGCTTTACCCATGTAGTCCACGAGTGAGTATGGTCTGGGACGAGCAAAATTATGAAGCAGTTCTATCACAAGGATAAACCTACAAGCAATCTTGTGGGGCACCACATCTCTGCAGTGTGTGCTACATGACCATGGAATTATAATATGCAAGTCGACATGATTTGACAGTGTGGATTTGAACAGTTAACCCTTTCAACACGGGTGAAAGGCCATGTCATCTCATTTGTTGACTCAAAATTGAACTACTATTTTATGAATTTATGCCAATAAGTTTCATATCAGATTGAAGATCATAATTAAAATTTTAGTATTATACATTAGTTAATTTCTTAATTTAAAAGTATACATTAAAAACACACCTAAATATCAATTTTTGTGTGTCACATGGTATGTTGAATGCAGCATTGGTTCAAATTAGATGTTAGTGGTATCCAAATACAAACTACATAGTTTCTTATGAATTTGGAACTCAAATTACCTATATTGACGAGCTAGAATATAAAATAATTACCTCCTATCTTTTCTATTTGCTGAGATATCACTACATTTACTGACACAAACACAGTGGCCATTCCCACCTTTTTCCATTTTTGAAAATGCTTAAGTACACCTACTTCTGTCTACGACATGTGAATAACCAATCCAAAGCTCAGTATATCCCCCATAGTGGTTTTCTCAGTCTTTTCCAAATATACAGATACAGAACTCTCTTTTTATACAAGATTCGAAGTGGTAAGGTAAGAATTTAATGAGCCCGAAATTTTACGTTGTCTTACACCCAAATACAGCTTAGTTACTATGCATGATAAATTATAATGGAATTATATGGCATTGATATACTAATTTTGATTTTTGGTTATTTCAAATTGTATATATAAAAACCTAAAAAAAAATATTTTGTTTCACATCCTCCACGTGCAAAATTTGATAAGGCTTAGCAACCTACAGCATGGAGCAAATGAGTACAAAGTTTGTAACTAGAATACATAATTGTTTTCTATAATTCTTTCTATAAGTTTCAGAACTTATTTGTAAATAGTAATAATGTATATACATATATGTATTATAACTGAAACGTGACTGTATTTTACAAAATACTAGTCCACTAAAACACAGCCAAGACAGGTCACTTTTTAAAGGCCAGTTTTATTTTATTGGATATGGTAATATAAGTGCATGTGTTCTGCTTCATTGCAACTTCTGTAATGTTAGCCAGGCATGGCTGAAAGGTCAATATAATAAAAGTAATAAATAAATATATATATATAAATGTATAATGTTATGAGATTAAGCTATTTAGAACTAAACATTTGTGTTTTCATGTTATAATTTGTCAGTTATTCTAGAACCAAAAAAAGCATAATTTATATTCATTTCCTAATTTTTTATGGTGGTTATGACGTCGGAAATTGGCAGACTCCGTATAGAGTTAGGGTAGAAAAAATAACAGATGATATATAAAGTTTTACTGAAAAGAAACATTTGAAATAGGTTGTAGAGATCACACAAATGATATTTGAGATTTTTTGGATGAAGAATAGTTTGTTTTAATCATAACATGAAAATAACTTCACACTCAGACTAGTAATGAAACAGACTTGATATATTCACAAACAAATATTTAATAAAACCACTTCATTTAAAAAATCTGATTTTTTGTGCACAAAAGACTTGTAATGTTTACTAAAAGTCTACCAAATTTTCTGAAGATACACATACTGCATTAAATGTGTGCAAGTGTGTATATATGGACTCGTGTACTTTTTAATTGAGCCTGTCACGAAAGGGTTAAAGAATATCTGGTCAGATACCACTCACCACAGAGTGGGGTCCAAACAATGAGCATTAATAAAAGGGGTCCTTGAAAAGGATGTGAGGAGGAATGTATCTATTGGATCTAAATTTTCAGGCAAGGAAAATGTTAACTCCCAAAACAATACCTAACCTCTATACACAGAATAGCTAGAGTGGAAAATGGGCCAGTGCAAAAATTAAAACTAGATGAGTGCCCTTGAGAAAGTGCACAAAAGAAAAGCCCATGGTGTGACACCTGACTGCTGGGGCTTCATAAGGGCACACTCATTGGACACTGAATATTCTCTTGACCAAGATATACTCTTTGCTAAGAATGTAAAGTGGGAGAATCAAATAAGCCCCCAAGTGTCACAGGGATGGGCAGAATAAGAACATGACCATTTCTAAGCAATGAAAAATCAATTATGTAATAAGTATGTGTTATAAGAGCTGTAGATGTCCTAAACAGTACTAATTTTGATGAAACAAATCTCAAATATTTACACACATTGTTAGTGTGTGTGTGTGTCTGGTAAAAGGCAAGGCACAACAATTTACAATAGAAAACATACTATTAGTGTGAACATGCTTTGGTTAACTTGTACTGATGAAGAGTGGAATTCTCTGAAACTAGTATAACCAAATAACACATATTGATCAAAGTGTAGATTGAACTGGAACTCCCTTGAACAAACTTTGATGAGATTAAACAATTTTCAGAATACTAAGTGTATTTATTTATTACAACAGCAAGATTTAATTGACATCAATTTGTTGTATTAGCTCAGAAATAATCAGTTATTGATCGAGGCCTTAATTGGATGGCTGTAGAGTCCAGCTGTTTTGATATCAGAAATTCTTTAAAAATCATTCTTTATTGGTAATTAATAGCTCAATCAAATAAAAACATATATATATATATTACATTTACCACATGCTGCATA